GTTTAGTTTAAGAAAAAAAAGAAAAAGTGTCTATAAATTGGTCAGAAATGGCTTTTGTCCCGATGGGCTATGCTGTTGAAAAGTGAAAATTTATAAGGATGAATTAGAAAAAGAAAAAAAATGTGAATAAAAAGTTAATATTATATTTTGTGGTTGCTATGCGATTACACAAACTGAACAGTGGCTATATGGATGCAGTAATTTGAGCTGCGGAAAGTGGAACGATAGTTATTAACTGGCAATTAACGTGCAGTCAGTTGTTCATTTGAAAAGTATTATGAAGTTTGTTTAGTTTAAACAGTTTTCTTTTGCTGACCATCTTACTGCTAAAATTTTTTTGGACTACGAAATCCGGTAAGTGATTAGTGCAGTTAGGCTAGTCAAGTTTTTTTTGACTTTTTTAATAATGGACAGCGTAAATCTTGTTGTTTTGATGGTCAACAACTGTCTGTACGAATGCAACATGTTTGAACGTGTTTTTTTTTTTTTTGCATAACTTTCAAAAAGTTCAGTTTTGTTGAATAGAATCGGTTACAGTAAATTGCGCTGAAAAAATATATTAAGAACGCCACCTCAGTCGGTTGGTTTGCTGAGATATAGAAACTGTGTTTTAGAGAAGTACGGATATACACGTCAAGCAATACTGAAAATCAGACTTTGGTTGTTCAGCTTAATAGTTTCTGGCGACTCAACATAGTTGTACTTTGACATTTGTGAAACATTTTGTCGTTGATTGTGACTGGTCAGCAGTTTCGTTTTTGCTTTCCGATCAGCTGCGGACTGTCGTTAGAAGTATCCAAAAGACAAAATTCATGAGGAAAAAAATTAAGAAATCAATGACAGGAGAGGATTTTTGAGTGTCCTCTGCTTTACTATTATTGTGGTTGGAACAATGTACCGATGGCAGCAATGATGATGATGGTTGTGACGACGACAAAGAATGGTGCATTTTTATGCAGATTATCGGTTAAGGTTGATATCTTGTGGTGTCGATAAGTTCCCTTGAACGGATATCCACACAAACTCAGTTCTGTTGAAGGTGAGTCCATTAGACGTACCCTGTTAATCTGGGTTGATGTTCAAAATTTAAAGTATTTGTAGATATTGCGTTAACTAATTGTAAAAGTTTTGTTCAGAATGAATTCAGCAATCAGTTTCCATTTTCCAATCGTTGTTTTGTTTTTATTGTTGTTGTTTTTTTTTTTTATCAATAATTCGAGAGCTATTTCTATGATAAGGCATTAATTTTGGTTTTGGCCACCTTTTGTTTGTCGTTCTCTATACGTGCAAACAATCCCAAGCGAACTGTACTATGCTTTGCCTATTTTTTTTCTTTTATTCTTATCCTTTTTTTTCACCTTTTTATGTTATTTACGTTTTCAATGGTATTTACATTACATTACAACCAGAGTATAAGTATTGGGTGATTGAAAAAAAAAATTTATTTGCTCTTTATAACTGCTTTCATACTATAATTTATAAGAGCAACGATTTGACCGAACCAAAAGATGTTGTAGGATACTATTTGGATGATTGACTAACGTCTCTCTTTTTCTATCTTAGTTTATCTTTTTCAGGTGTCATCGGTGTTTATGGCAGATAGTGGTTAGGTTAAAAAGCGATGAGTAACAGTAGTGATACGGTGATTGGTTTTGTGCTAAATATTACGGCGTGTTTTGCCTTCGGCTTTATGTTTGTTCCACTTCGAAAATTTCAATGTGGAGATGGTTCGTACATGCTGCATTTAAATCCAAACAATCTTTACGTGTGCTTTTTAACTTTTTCAAAATTTGTTTTTGTTCGCGCTGTTTCAAATGATGACATCTCTTTTGCACAATGAGTGGATGAAACAGTGCTTTAAAATTACTGTTTGTTGACGTAAGTTTTCTTGACATGAAGCAGAAATTCTTTTTTTTTTAGGCTTCTTCGTTCAGTGGGTATATAGCATTGCTGTATTCGTTATTGGCTTTGTGGTTAACTGCTTCCGAGGCTTTCCACCATTTCTACCCTTGGCTATGGTTGGTGGAGCTGTAAGTGCTGCAGGTTTGAACATCTTGGCATGAAGAAAAAATTGTTGGTCTCATTTCACAAATCAAGATTTCAATGCTTGTTCCTCTGTTAACCATTTAAGGGGAGCAAATACGTCTGAGGAAGTCAAGCTAAAACTGAATAACATTTTTTTCTTATTAAATGCAGACTTTTTTGGTTACCGTATTGCTAACAGTGAGATTTTCGCAGCTACATATGGAGAATTTTGGGGAATATCCTCGACTATACGCTATTTATTTCTTAGACGCTTATTTCCAGGAAGTATGGCTGCGGTTCCACTTATGAAGAACCTTGGTTTGAGCGTTGGTATGATGCTATGGGGCGATGTCCAAGTATGCTCAGTTTTAATTTTTTTGTCCACATTTGATGACATTCGGCATCTAACGACAAACTTTCTGCGGAAGGTGATTTGCAATAGATTTAATCCAGTTTAGGCCGTTACTGGCTGGTCAATTGCCCGATTTGGTTTATTTGGCACTAAACCTCAACCTGTTTACAACAATGCAATGAATGTTGCTGGTGTTATTATCGTCGTTGTAAGGTGAACGATTAGCCGTAATTTTGTTTTCTCTATTATTTTTGGTTCTAAATTTTTTTTGTTTTATTCATCTTGAAATTGAAGTTTTTGCCTATTAAGAATTTAGTGTATTCTAGTGGTGTGATGTTTGCATTTGTAAGACACGAGACACAACAAAAGGAGTTGTTGAAGAAAAATCGCCTAATTATGAATGAGAAAAGTGAAGGGGAAGTGATTGAAGAGGAAGAGGCAGAAGGTAGAGCCGATGAAGGCCCAACTAATAGCAAAACACGTTCAAATCAGTTGCCGCTAGAAAGGTCACAGTCTCGCAAGCTTCAGTTTCCTTTAATCAAATTGTTGTAAGTTTCTGAACAATTGGCAGTTTTGTTTTTTTTGATGCTTTTTGCTGGAAGCATTCAGATGCTTATTTTGTTGAGCAGGAATTTTCTATAAACTATGAATTGCTTTAATTAAGCTGTCACTTTTTTTTGTTGTTCCACCGCGGAATAAGAGTAATGTTATGGTCTGTGGATTCATTTTTCTTTTTACTTTTATTACGAAGAAAAGTTTAGATACGTTGGGATGGCTGTTATCATTGGGATTTCACATGGTTTTAATATGACTCCAATTACATATATCGTGGAAAATTACGCCAGTGCTTCTCACGATGGTATTTTTTACAGAATGGTTAATAACTGTGCAAAGAGATTTATCGCTTGATGAAAGCGCGTTGTTTTATATTTCATATTTTGTAATGGTCAATCGTCAATTTAATGTTCTCTTCACTTTCAGTTCTGGACCATATATTTGCTCATTATTGTGCTGTGACTCTCTGTACCACAGTTATCTTTATTGCGTATAGTATTGTGAAAAAAAATAACCCATTTGCGCAGTCTGAACTAGTAGGCTGTCTTTTTACTCGACTTATAATTTTATTGGCTGTCTGTTACGGCTGCTGATATTTGAATATTTAAAGTACAAAGTGCTTTTTATGCGTAATGTTGAAATGGCTGTACTGTTAGTGATATTAAGTTTTTAGATCTTACCTTCTTTCCTTTATGGTGTGTTCTGGAGTGGTGGAATGGTGTTATTTTTTATTGCAAACAGGCTGCTCTCTCAGACTGTTAGCTATCCAATCACAATGAGGGTGAGTCTTACATTTGTATAAAAAACTTGTAAGAATTGCGCTGTGATTCTTCGCCAATTGAGTTTAAAATTGTTAGATAAATTTTAATACGTTATTTTTCTCATGGAATAATAGACATTTTTATGTCTATTATAATTTTTTGCACAAACATTGTTTATGTCTTGCATAGATAATTCTAATTTTTGTAGCTACCATCGACAATAACACTGGTTGGTGACGTATTACTCTTTAGAACTGTCAAGGTAGACTTTTTTTCAATTGTCAGATTTGACGTATTGGACAATGACTACTTCATTTGATTTCTGGATTTATATACTTTGCTGTTACAGGGTACAAAAAACGTAATATATACGACTGTTGCTGTAACTGTAGGAATTGTTGGAATTCTGTTGATCGCTTTTTCAAATCAGCAGCTATAAATTAGTATAAGCATTAACGTAGCCAAGTTACTTTATTCAAAGCTTTTTTTACATCATGCTCATAATTTTGTCCCGATACTCATTTTTTTGTGGCTTTAATTGGGCGGTTGCTGTTGTACATCAAAATAGCAGACAATGATGAGCGGAGAAGAGGTTTTTAAGACTTTTACTTTTTTGACCTTTGGTCTCCGATGTAATGTTGTAGTGAAGTAATCTCAATTGATAAGAATTTGCAGTAGTTTTTTACCATTTTCAGCTCTGGTTTGTAGACTGTTACTTCGTTTATTCTTTTGTTTTTGGGTTGTCTTTGTTGCTGTTGTTCTATTTGTCATGCAAACAAAATAAAATGGCTTGCCCATAAAGTCCTAATTACTGGTATGGTATATAAATTCAAAATAGTTTTTTGTTCCGCTTTGTCGTATCGTTCAAGGAAACATCGTCATCGCGCTGTTTCTTAACTGAAATTTTCGAAGCAGTCCCTTCTGTACATTTGGCCGGGAATTAAAAGCCATTGAAGAAGCGGGATATATAGGTGGAGCTGTTTGTTGGATTCCAGCGGAGAAAGTTCTGTAAATCAGCGACTTTCTTACTTAGGTTTAAATCGCCTACGTTGTTTTGAGTAATCACTTTTTCTAAACCATTGCTTCGAAAGAGGCAAAACGTTTTAGTTGTTGCGAAGTTAGCGAAAACTTGGTTTTTCCCTTTCTGCTTTGTTCAGTTTGATTTTAATCATTCGTAACCGTAGAGCAGCAGTATTTTGGTTTGTAGGGGACTGTTGACCGAAGAATTGTCTAAAGGTGGCGTCAGTGAGCTTTAGGAGGGTGGAAAAAGAAATTAAAAAACCAGCCATAATAGCTGAAGCATAAGAAGAAGTGTCTTTAAACTGTTTGTTTTCTAATGGTCACCAACTGCAGATGCACAAACTTTGATAATGAACTTATTTGAAGGTTTAACTAAAACGCTTCTATTTGAATGCTTTGAAGTGTTTATTAGGTTGTCACTTTATCAAGCAACAATTTTCCGACTAATCCACTAACAATTAATGATTATAACCCAGCATATAAATCAAGATTTATTGTCACTTCATCTGTCTTTTCTTAATTATAGTTTGTTAAGTTGTCTGTATTTATTATGGTCAAAAAAATATGTTGAATAAATTTTATAAGGCAAGTAATAGGAATGTGACGTATAACATTGTGCACTGAAATAATTAAGCCTGTTTTTTTTTTCTGTATGAAATACGATCGGCTTGCATCAACAGTATGTTCAGCATATAAGTGGGTGTTTATTATCAGACATATGACTGTTCACTATAAAAAGGTTAATGGGCAGTTTTCTTTTTTCTTCTCTATCGTCTGAATACTAATTATAAAGGACTGTAAAGCAGTGCAAGGTTACTGTCTCACTGAAAATGAAATAAGCAGAAAATGCAGGTGTTTTGCATTTGATAACGTTATGAGAAGAATACTGTTATGGAGTTAAAGTATTGCCTACTCCAAAGATTATGGTTGATTTAAACTAATTGCAGATAAAGGACCTAACAACAAAGGCTTTCTTTCTTTTGTTCTGATGGTTTCTGTATTGGATGGTTTTCTCAAATTCACATTGTAATTGCTTTTTGCACTTTAGCAGACTGCTATTTTTGTTGATAATTTTGAAACACGCAATTTGTAAGGAATTAACGCTCTATCAACTTTGAAGCATAGTCTTTGGTTACACGTAATTTAGGGCGTTATGTAAATCTAAAAAGATCATCATTCTTGATTTCAAAGAACAGCAAAAAACTTTAATTCCAGCATATTTCCAAGAAAAAAAATAAGCCTTCATAGATTGTTCGTGTTTTTCCGGTGCCCAGGAGAGCTAAACTTTTCGCCGTGGGGAATAAACGTGTGATTTCCAGCACTTGTGACATCAACATTATTATGTCAGTCACTTGTTAGAACCGCGTTTTCCGTGGACTACGCGCCTGAAGACAAATCTTGCTTTTACACCGCGGGCTTCCAAATTCTAAAAAAGCCTATTTGTTAGATACTCGGTCGTATTTTTGCAGATATCATGGGTAACAATCAAAACGGTTTGAAGATTTTAAATAACTCGGTTTAAAAGGTGCTGACGCACGCAATCGGGAGCTCAACTGATTTTTTTCTCAACATATCTTTTCTTTTTTCTCCAGTTCTGTTTAGATTTTCATTTATTTCTGCTTGCTGTAGATGTTCAAGTAAACGTTGCAAAACTAAAAAAGGATTTGATTTCGGTAAAAAAGAAACCAGTAAAGGCAATCATTGGTGTTACTTGACACCAAAAGCGAGTTCACCAGCATTAGAAGCGTGTAAAACGTTTTCGCCCTCGATTTGACAAAAAATTTTCGGGTTAAAACAGGCTTTTATAGATCCTGGTACGTATAAATATATATGTATAAGGACCGGGCTTTCTCTTGGAATTAAACTCTGGTTTAGAATCAGCCTTATGGTTGCAGTTACGCTTAAGCTTAGTTTATTCCAAGTAGTGTACAGCTCTCCTTAAACTTTTATGAAGGATATCGACCACTGGAAAAATGTCATAGGAAGATAAACCATCTGAGAAAAGACAGGTTTCGGGCTAACGTGGTTGCGGAAGAGTTTGTTATTCCCGCTGTAAATCGAGGAAGCGATTCGGTATTCTAACTGAACATTTGTTCATCTTAAAAAAATAGTTTATAGTCTAAGGACTACTTATGAGTTTCACCACTGGATTCGACTCACATTTAGTGTAAAGATTTATTTCTAGGCACAAATATTAGGCTTTGGCTGAGGAAAGAATTAGTGGTTGCGACTACAATGCAGAGTAGAAGTTAGGTATCGCCCTGGATTTATGTTTAGTTTTAGGCTTTGACACGCAAAAAGGGATGGTTGATTTTTGTCATGTTATGGAGTGAGGGATGAAGTTTAGAATTATTTGTGTATGTTCAATGTAAATCAAATTTATATTTTATAAAACTTTGAATTGTTTCAAAGTTGTCAGTTTTGGAATTATGATTTATGGTTCAAAATTATGACCGAGAGTCATTATTGCGGTCGGTGCTAAAGAGAAATAAGGTTAAATTAGTATTTAGTGATTAGCAATTAATGGATCGCCAAATCCACTAATTTTCCTTTCACTCAAACTTCTTTTTAATTCTAACCTTTTTCTTACCTTGTTATTTACAGTCCCGCACCAAGCGTCAATATTCCAATTCTCAACAGTTTTTCCGTTTCTCATTCCGCCGTTCTTCATCACTCAAAGAGGAGATTACTTGATTAAATACACGTTTACATCACGGAAATAACCTAAAACTAAGTCTAGACGTAACTCTAAATAAGAGCTCGTTCAAGTTTAAGCATAAGACTAGGCGCTTAGGACCAAAATGAAGCCCGGCCTTAATGTATATGTATTTAAGTACGAAGGTTTTCAAAACGCCATCTTAACTGTACAACTTTCTTGCCGCGTGGCAGCCGCAAATGTTTTACACGCCTTTCATGCTGGTGAACTCGCCTTCGGTGCTAAGTAACACTACCAAATGCTTTTACTGTTTTTTCAGTGAAAATTAAATTCCGTTGCAGTGCTGCAGTGTTCGCTCGGACACACGTAGCAGGCAGAAACAAGTGGAAATCTAAACAAAAGAGGAGAGAAGAGAATATATGCTGGGAAAAAAGCAATTTAAGATCCGATTTTGTCAGCACTTTTAGACCAAATTACTTGGAATTTTTAAACAGTTCTAGCTTTTATACGTGCTATCCGCAAAAATTCCAACTTAGTACCTTACAGACGAATTTTTCTACTGCAGACCTTCAGTGCAAAGCTGATTTATTTCCCGTCGCGTAGTTAAGAAAAACACAATTTTAACAAATTATTCACACTATAGAGCAGTTTTTGTGGAACCACAGATACTGAAAACTGCAGCCTTGCGCCATGTCAAAACTACGCTATAGAATTATGATGACGCGATTTGAAGTCAATTATGCAAGCGAACCGTACTGAAATTTCGAGTTTTAAAAGAACTAATACGGAGCAACTTATGTATTGTTACTGAACCACTGAAATGATCAAAGTACAACTAGTCATAAGGCAATTTAAGGTTTATAATATAATGGGCTATTGTTTTCAGCCAAAACGAATACGAATAGCACGAGAAACACATACAATTGAGCCATTTACAGTGTAAAAACAAATGATCGTCTCTTAATAAAGTCAAAAAGCGCTCATCCAAAGTTATATTTAACTAAAGCTCCACAGATCATCGTAACAAATACAAAGTTTATTGCAGAAACTTTGAGAATTCATCGACAACAAGCTGTTATAACTTCAGCACTCTTTGTAACAACAGCTGAATATAAAACAAATACGTTCTTGTTATAAATTCTTAATTTACAAAATGAAACTTCAGGACAAGTTTGAAAACCGTTGTCTTGTGTACATTTATGAGAAAGAAAGCAAATTTTGAGTTGCTCTTCAGGCAGTTAATTTTTTGAATGTTTCTTGTGGTGTTTTAAAGGATTTATATACTTTACAGTAGGAAAGTAACAAATAAAGTCGAGAGCTTGCTGTCTGCAAGGTATAGAACTCCAGCTGCCATTGGTATTTTTGACGCAAAGGCCATCAGTTGAAGGCTTAGAAATGTCGAAACCTGCAACAACGCTTGAAAATAATTACCAATTTTTTTGTTAACTTATTCAAGTCTCATTCATTAATATTTGTGGTCAAACAATAAAAACAGACTTTACGTACCGCTGCTAACAAAGTCAACCGGAGTTTCGTCGGTCCATTGATATGCATTTTTCCCCTCGTTATAGTAAAGTCCAATTAGTAAGCCATCTTCTTCCAAATTAGCAATGAACTCATTTAACTAAATTTATATGTGGATAAAGTTGTTCAAAAGTCTAACATCTCATTAGAAGAATATACAAGAAAAAGAAGAATAAAAGTTTAGGTTTATAAAGCAATTAAATTTTTGTTAGTTTTATGTAACTACAGCTTCATATGGAAGCAAAAAGAAATAACCGAACATAGCGGTCGTGTATGGACACCAAATCAGAGCCCCAATGACGTCTACACTTCTCCCAAGCTTTATGTGCGGATAACTTAGACTTGATATGATAGTAACATCGACCTTCAAATTCAAACCATAGTTTTGGACAACTACGTTCCTCTGAAAAAGCTCTGCCGTTGCAGTAGAGTATAAAGCTTGAAATAGGCTTCTACAGGAGAGTTATTATAAAGCGAGAGACATTTAAATATCAAATCTGATATTATCTTTCCAAATATTTTCCGTATATTCGGCCGATGACTTCAAAAAAACAAAAGTCTATTTCCTTCAAAATAAGGACTAACGTTCAACTGATTTTAATTCTGAAACAAATGCGACTGCCATACAGATAAACTCTCTGAAAGGTAACCACTTTTTAGCTAATTATTGTAATAGAACAGTTTACCCAGTGATAAGATGAAAAGAGATGTTAAAATTAGTGTTCTCAACATATTACAACGACTGAAAGTGTTTCCTGTTTACGCTCTATGTTATACGTATATCTGCAATATAAAACAAAGTAACAGAATTGTTAAATTTAATCCGATAATCGAAACGTGCTAAAAAAAATTGTAGAGTTAAGCCGCCATTAGATGAAGCCAAAACAATATAATCCAATAGAAAATTAATTATTTTGGCCTATTTTCAAACACATCAAATAGGACACAATTATACTATGGTGCTTTTCAAAACTTACTTTTTTTCCAGTTTTCTATCGCTTTCTAGAACATGTCTGTTTATCTAGAGCAGCGATAAACAAATTAACAGCCAAATCTGTGCAAAAAAGAAGGAGAGAGAAAAAAACCGTAGAAATCAGTAAAAGCTTAAACAGCTATCAGATAAAAAATTTTGAACTAGGGAGAAATTATGCAGAAAACGCAACCAGGCAGTCATTAGAAGTCAATCTATGAGACTTCGTAATACCCAAAAATTTCATGAATCTCAACTTGAAGTAACATGTCTAAAATGCTCTTTTTTTTTTTTTTTTGTTTAATTCAATCACCAATTATTATAGGAACTAATTTCTGACTGAGAAATTCTAAAGCAATGTTATCTTGGAAACTATTTGTTTTTCCTTAAACACTATTTGAATTTAATAAAAAAAAATGGTTTTTTAAACTATCACCCTTCCGTCACGGCACCATTCCTTTTTGCAGTTACGATCTAAAGAACGCCTCTTATTGAAATGTATTAGTGATGGGTAATGTCAACAGAAATATCAACAGCAGCGACGCCAGACGGTCCCGTGGTGTAGCGGTTAGCACTCAGGACTTTGAATCCTGCGACGGGAGTTCAAATCTCCATGGGGACCTGGCGCGAGTCTGTGGTGGACGCGACCCAGCGTTTTGCTCTATAAACCTCCAATAAATAATGCGACTTCTGTGTTAAAAAAAAAAAGAGGACATAAAACAAAACCGAACGCCGCCAACCAATTTTCCAACTGATAAAAGTTTACAGAACAAAACGTATTTTATTCGCCAGAAAAAACATCCAAAAATACAAATAGATATGTTTATTTTCATTGCCCATGCCAGCCAACATTCAGCTTCAACTGTAAATGAAACCGTAGAGCGATAATGCAAAAATACCCAAATAAATAAAATCTAACAATACTTTTTCATATATTTGCCCACAATAATAAGTTTATAAAATATTTGTAAACTTTAAAAGCATCATCTTTTTTCACTAATTTTTCATCCTATCTATTTCCCTACTCACCAAATCACGACTTTTTAGAACAAAAATGAAAGATTGTTTAATCAAATATATCGATCGAAAACACTTTCAAACATATCAGCTATAAAAGATGATGATAGATCAGCACTACAATTCAAAGTCCCGCTTGTCATTTGAAATTCGACCAGTCCACCAGTGATCGCTGCGTGCAGCAAGATTTTTGCTAGCCTAAATGATCATAATGAAGAAATTAGATGAAGACAACTAAATATAAGCTGTATTCAGCAAGTAGCTGGGAAATTTTATTATATTTCTAGCATTCACAAAAAGTTGTCTCGATTTTCAACTACCATTTCCTTATGTAAGCTAAGAGTGACTAAAAAAGTTTGTTGGTACTTTTGACTTGATCTACTTTTTAATACTTCTTTCAGATTGTTTTCTTTCCAGCTGATAAAACGAGCTTACCCTGGATTCACAAGATGCCATGAAGAGTTTCCATGGCCATGTCTGAAACAGGCGTTTTCTTCCAAATTCTTCAAGCAACTAACTACTAAGTTCTCATCAAACTGAAAACATTCAGCACAGTTATAGCTGTCAAAACCAAATTCCAGTTTCCAGTACGCAAAAGCACAGTTCAGTGCCGATCGAATCCGCAGTATATCATTGGCAGCATATTTCGGCAGAATTGCTAGGGCTGCATTCAGTTGCTTGGTGTTAAATTTGCATGCAGTTTTCTTAGTGCATAAAAACTGCAGTTTTGGCACTACAATACAACAGTTTTCGCCAAAAAAAAAAAATAAATAAATAAATAAATAAACAAAATAACAAACAGTGCAAAACCAGCAATTTCCAATTTTTCAAAAAGTCCAAAAGAACAACCTTCCAATTTTACAAGACAAAATTTAACAAAAGCCATGAAAATTAAATTTGACAACGTTTTAAGCAAAAATTTTTAGAAACCTCTTCGACTAGACTGGTCAAAGATCATCATCCAAATTCTTCAGGAACATTTATTTACTGCCATCAGCAGGAATCACGCTCCAGATCTTTATTTTAGCGAACAACTAAACAAAGGATTTTTCACAGCAGAAAAGAAAACTCACCAGAACAACTACTTAATGATTTTAAGCTTAATTCTCCAACTCAAATGAATCCTCACAAACTAAAGTTATTATAAAGTTGTTAAAATTGATAAAAAACAATACCTTTCCTTCAGCTGCTGCAGCAAAAAGCTGCTCAAAATCAGTAATTATATAAAAGTGGACGACCGAGTGGCAAATATGTTGCAACTTTTTGGGGGACCCCTAACAATAGGACGCATAAGAAGTGGGCTGTTCCTATGTCGGATGCCATCAATAATTGCACTTTAGCTGCACTTTTTCGTCTTTCCAAATGATAAGTGAATACCCAGCAGCGAAACTTCTGTGAATCAGTGGTATACATAAACATACGTTTATGATGAATAACCATCCTATACCTGTTCTATTGAAATCTGACAATTTCCAGTGATATCCGTCTATAGCATCTCATAATGAGAGTTTACAGCATCATATGAACACATTTTAAACAGTGAATTCCACATTTGCTTACCTCCATCATAAAGCGGTTGACTGAACAGCTTCTTAAGTTTAAAAGTCCGAGAAATCGAAGTGCAGATGCCTGCATAGTATCAAAATTTAAATCGTACACTATTCTTTACCATCAATTTTCGTTCTGTAACTCGAACATCTGCTTTGATTAGCTTGTAAAAATACCGTATATCAAATCCAAATTTTCGCTTATAAATAACGCCGCTGATACATGGAGGTGTGCAAAAAAGGTTCATAAGATGCAACAACTTCCATACCAGTGATAAAATCAAAATACTGTATTGAGTAACTCAACTATTATGCGTAACTCAAATCAGTGTTGGATAACTGTTAGAAAACATCAATCCATTTAGTAAATTAAAAAGGTAATAAATGAAGTCTAGACTGTATTTAATTTTTTATGACACAGTAAGTCAAAGAGTGAAAAAAAAAGCAATAATCAGTTGACGGTAGCCACAAACAGCGTTACAGCCGTAACAAATTTCAGTTCCGGCAAATCTGTATCCAAACTTAAAACCAATGCTGATGATGCGCGTAAACTGTTCTTTTCTACTAGCAGTGACGATCAATGACTAACAAAACGTAAAACTCAATAACAGGCTTCAGAGAGCTTTGAATACGCAGCAGAAACACGCAACGCCATCACCGAACTACCTACGGGAAAATTTTTCTTTCACCTTCTGAAGTACAATATAATCATCCTAAATTCTTACTCGCACTACACTTCTCTAGATTGTCCCAAAAACACCTTATCAGCTGCAATTCACCAATTCCCCTATATGTCGCTACCAAAACCTATCGTTCCATCTCGTATCAAAAAAATCGCAGAAATATAAGAAAGAGAACATATATCGCACATACAAAATACTCATCTTCTCACAGCTTCAAGAAGCTATTATCACCTTGGCGTCCTAGCACAGAAAAAACCATTTAACCAGAACACCATTAACCCGAACGAAAAAAGATGCGCGCACGAGACGCCCCCAGGAAGTCTGGATGTGAAATCAAGACAAACCTGCTGCCCAACGCTATCTCCCAACACAAGCTCCGAATAACCATCGTAGATCACTTGCCTCCTCATAACAAAATGCAATTGAAAATTGCTGAAATCCACCAGAAACGATACCTTTTTTACAGCTATGTCCACGACAGTAACCATTCCACATAACCTCAACATTAATATTGAACCCCTTCCTTCCTGCATGTCCTTAAAGTTCCCACGCAACCTTTTAAACAAAACCAATAATTTGCTTCCAATAACAACTAAAAAATTAAAATTTATTTTCTTCTCCAAACTGGGAAAAAAATTAGCATCTGTAAAGCTTCCATGTCTTCAGAAGTCAAAAAGCACCATATCACAAAAGAGTACATGCGCAAACAAGAGTTCAACACAAAAAAAAAGAAAACCAATTATATACGTAAAAAGAACGACTGTTGCAAAAGGTGATAAATTTGCATAAAACAACTATCATGAAAAACATATAAAAGAACCTGAAAAAAAAGTTAAATGCAATCAAAAAAGAACAAGAAAAAAGAACGAGGTAAAAGTGCAAGCGAACATAATTCTAAAGGCATAATAAAGAAATTACATAACTCTGGTTAACACATTTCTGCAGCTTCTGCACCATCATTAAAATGACTAAGCGTCACAGGAAGAACCAGCTCAATTAGAAGGGCCTGACGAACAGAAGCGCAGTTTAAAAAACAATATTTCACTACCGTACCCGAATATGGTGAAAATATATACAAACTGAAATAACGAAAATATGCTGGAAAATGAATTATTTAAGCAAATCGAAGGCCTGGCGAAATTACAACGCTGAGATTGCATACTAAGTTCAAAGCAGATACGAATCGAAATCTTAAGACACAAAATTAATGCTGGAAGCACAAAATACAAGGCATTCCACCAGCTATTAAAGGTACACCTCAATTAAAAACGCAGCCTGAGATGCTAAGAGAAAAAAATGACAAAGTTTTCCGCTATTCCCACAAATATTTATAGTGGGTTGTGATACAATCCAACACGTATCAATCAGTGGCTAGCTAGACAATATAACAGTGATTAGGAACTAGCTCTCAACAACCAAAAAAAAAAAAAAAAAAAAAAAAAAAA